CCATCCCCTGGGTGTGCGCCTCCCTTTTACCTAGGAGCTAGGCAGGATCCTTACCTGCCTCTTTGGTGGACGGAAGGGGAGTGAGCTGCCGGTGGGCCAAGTGGTCCCTGAGTTGCATGGGGGTCCCCTAGCAGCACCCGCCCGCTGGCACCCAACCTGGGCATTCCTGGGGGGTGCTGCAGCCACAGAGGGAAGCACTGGTCCCCCTGCAGCCATGGAGGGAAGCAGAGGTCCCCTGCACAGCTCAGGCAGGCAGGCTCCTGGGAGAAAAAAAAAAAGATCAGGCTCGCACCTTTTTTTTTTCTTTCAGTGGAGCCTGCCTGCACGTGCTGCCACCAGGTCCCACAGCCCCTGAGCTGCGTGGGGCCCACCGAGCCCCGAGCATGTCGGCTTCCAGTGCGCCATGCACTGTTGCACTTCGTTAGGTAGCAAACTAAAACACCTCGGAGGTGTTTTCTCTTGCTGTGTACCAAAGTCATTTAAAGTGGAATATGCCACCGAGCATGCAAACAGCAACAGCATTAACATGGAATATGCCACCGAACGTGCATACAGCAACACCATTAAAACAGTGTAAAAGGGCATTTAAGCCAGTTTAAAGGTCAGTTTTGTGGTGTGTGCAAAGGTTGTGATACTCCCTTCCTAGGGCCTTGCTCCCACTTCCTCCTGCCCTGGGGCATCCTGGGGTGGCTTCCACAGTAATTCCCTGGCATGAAGGCTGTGGGAAGTGCGGGTTGGCCGTGTCTGGGCATTGCTTGGAAGAGATGTGCTCTGAGCACTGCTGAGGCTCCAGGTTGCTGGGACCCTACAGGACCAAGGATTTCTTTCTTTGTCGCTGGCAAGAGACCCTTCCTAACTTGACTAACCTGTGGTGCCAACTTTCTCCATGGTGGTTCTTTTCCTGGTGACAGGTCAGAGCGGGAGGGAAATAAGCCCAGACCATAGAGAAACTGCTCAGGAAAACTTTCTATTCATGATTCGGTCAGTTACAGAAGGCTTCCCTGTCATAGCCCTGGGTGGGGAGGTGGCTTTGCCCCACTTCCTCTGTCCTCCTGCCTGGAGAGCAGGGGATGAAGGTGCTGA